CATACATGTCGTACGGATCAGTATTAGTGGACACACAGTATATGGTGTCATAAATACCTGTAATTGATTTGTACGTCAGTCTCAAGAAGTATGCGATCATCAGTTTGACAATCATATGACACGTGACTACACTCAACGGATAGTGAAATTTCTGCACAAAACAAGCCATAGATAACTCATTAGCCATTCATTCAGACATTCATCAGACAATTGGTATTCACTTTAATGAACCACTTTTGATAGAAAGTGATGCCAATGGAGAAGAGATAATAGATGACAATGAGTCCCATGTTTCTGATGGCAGTCATCCACAGTTTGTCGACACAACACAACCGACATAACGAGTGACTCTTTCGCGACAATGAACTGCTTTTGGACTTCATTTCAATCACACATTTGCTCACCAATTGATCCAATCATTAACATATGACCACAAATCAAATCAACAGTTTCTAACACTTTGTCAACAAAAATAAATCTTAAGATTGAAATCAAGTCATTGTGGACTAGATTTGCGATTAATGAATACTGATATGTGATTCACTATTGATTATAAAATTAAACATACATTTAATGATTGTAATGATTGATAAATAAACAAAATATACTATATTTACAACAATTTAAATCATATGTAAATCCTAAACATCTGTTTACCGATTAAATAGTGAATTGTGTTCACATTTTCACATAAACAGTCATTTGTGTTGAAATAGTATTACAAATACTCCCATAAGTTGTGTTGACAACTAATGGTTCAATGAATTCGTTGTCAAACACACATTCAATAAGGAGTATTGCCATCCGAATGGGAGTTTTGCAGACTTTCAAAAACATTGCAAACACTTAGAAATTGAACGCCTTCATGCAAATAAAGCTTACCTTGAACTTATAATTAGTCTAATAATTACCTAGGTACCTTGAACTTATAATTAATCTAATCTACAATTGGAAATATTTGACAATAGAGATTATATCAACTCAATTACACACACTTTATAACTAATGATAAAATGTGACATTTCTTGACCACCTTGGACATTTCTAATTATGGACTACATCAATTAGTTAACAAATTGAATTTGCTGCAATTATATTAAATCATTTAATGAATTTATTGAAAACACACCTAAAATATAGATTCCTTAAACTAATGATTATAAAAATAGCTGTAATTAAAAGTTACCGGTAATAACAAAATAAAATCAATCACATTTTGATTTAGTTTTCAGTTATAAGACAACAGAGTCTTCGTCTAGGAGTGGCTTAAAAGCCATTCCTCCGCAGCCGTCGAATCTGTAATAAATAATAATTAAAATAAGTTAATATAAAATTGTTTACAGAAATATGACAAACAACTGACTCTAAGACAAAGTGATGGAATTGTTGTAATTGTTTCACTCTATGGGTGACACTTAATAGCGAACACTGGACTGAGTTCAGTAGGTATTCGTAAATGGATTGCTCGACATCTATGGACACCTAATTGGAAATATTTGACAATAGAGATTATATCAACTCAATTACACACACTTTATAACTAATGATAAAATGTGACATTTCTTGACCACCTTGGACATTTCTAATTATGGACTACATCAATTAGTTAACCAATTGAATTTGCATTCATTCATATTAAATCATTTAATGAATTTATTTAAAACACACCTAAAATATAGATTCCTTAAGCTAATGATTATAAAAATAGCTGTAATTAAGTTACCGGTAATAACAAAATAAAATAAATCACATTTTGATTTAGTTTTAAGTTATAAGACAACAGAGTCTTCGTCTAGGAGTGGCTTAAAAGCCATTCCTCCGCAGCCGTCGAATCTATAATAAATAATAATTAAAATAAGTTAATATAAAATTGTGTACAGAAATATGACAAACTGACTCTAAGACAAAGTGATGGAATTGTTGTAATTGTTTCACTCTATGGGTGACACTTAATAGCGAACACTGGACTGAGTTCAGTAGGTATTCGTAAATGGATTGCTCGACATCTATGGACACCTTTTATGCAATCAATCAACCAATGAATCAACATATCATTGAAGCCTAACTTAAAATATAATTCACTTACAGCTGAAGTGCATTCGTCCAAAATTGCAAACAACGGCTTGTGGTATAAAAGTCTAGAGATTTGTAAACTCAATTAAATTAATTCAAAAGTCAATAGTAAGTACGTATAGGAATAGATACCTGGCCAGTGCTACTCTTTGCTTCTCACCACCACTGAGCACGTCATGCCAGTCCTGTACCGAATCCCACGATTCCCTTTCGACTAAATATTCAATTTGCACCTATTTTTCAATACATTATATTAACTCATAAACTCAACAATTATTTGATACAAACAATTCTGAGGTATTCTAATAGATTGGAATCCAAAATTCCTTTTCTATACATATCATCACAAGTGTCCGGATATATTATTTGGTCTCTGAATGTGCCTAATGTTTAACACGTGAGTTAGAATATTTGAGTGTTACGGTACCAGGTTAAACAAACCGATTGTCATATACGGCCGCTGAGGGATGTAAAACAGTTTACTGTTCGGAGGCTTAATAAGTCTGCCCCCATATAAAGGCCACAGACCTCCCAATAGCCTAAATAGGGACGACTTTCCTGAGCCATTGGGCCCTAAATATCAACCAAATAACATAAACATACGGAATTGAATACTAGAGATTATGTTAAGACAATACCAGTTATAATAACATTTTGACCCATTCTTAATGTGAAATTAATAGACTGGACCAATAGATCACCACTTGGGGTACAGAGAGGCACATCACAGAACTGTACCGTTGGGTTCTTGGGATCACATATCTGGACCACACCTGAGCCAGCAATCAATGGACGCGATATCTCTTCACAAGTTATTGGTTTCAGTGTATTATTGTTCGGAATACTATTTAACAGAAAATTATTTTTAATTAATTAATTAATTGAGAGAAAGAAAGAAAGAAAGAGAGAGAGAGAGAGAGCGAGAGCGAGGGCTCACTTTTCAATAGTGTTAATGAGTTGATTAACTCTTGTAGTATAAGCTGCGAGTCGTGTGAAGTTACGTCCGGCCATAACAAGTCTGCCAATAGATTCCGCCAACTTAACCATCATTCGCCCCGATTTGTAATAAGTCTTTATCGGATAATATTTGTTAATTTATTAAATAAATTAAACTTATATTTTATCCCAAAATGCTAATAACCTCTAAACGGAAAGCTTGAGAATCTTTGCTGTATCGCGCCGTTAGGAATGGTATGGAGAGTGATAAGTAGCCAAAAACTGT